GCCACTCTAAAAGGAGGTTTAGAAAAAAAAATCTTTAGCCGGGCTCGATGGGTCAGCCTGTAATCCCACGCCTTTGGGAGGCTGAGGTGAGTGGATTGCCTGAGCCCGTGGGTTCCAGACCCGCCTAGGCAGCGAGAGCTCATCTCTACAACAAATCAAAAAATCAGCCAGGCGTGGTAGCGCGCGCCTGTAATTCTGGCGACTCGGAAGGCTGAGGAGGAGGGATCGCCAGAGCCCAGCAGGCGAGGCTGCGGTGGCCCGGAGCAGTCACTGCACTCCAGTCTGGGTGACAGAGTGGGACTCCAACTCAAAAAAAAATTAAAAAAAAAAAATCTTTCTTGCGTCATAAGCTTCAATAAAATGGTAAACATTTCTCTCCAAATTTTATCATTGCATCTCTCCTCTGCAAGGATCTACTGCATCATTCAAGGTAGAAAATGGGAATTATTCCACTTTTACTAGAGATAACTTAATTTAACTCGTTGTGATAATTCAGATGACTCCAGGAGGTTGCAAACCACTTCTATCAAAATGCCCTGGCGCATTTAAGAATTCTAAAACTATCTAGTTGAAATTCCCTCCTTTCTTGGATACTATAACTCAGACTTAGGTGTCCTTTTTAGGGGAAATAATCCTCCTTTCTATGTTATCATTTGATCTTCTCTGGAATGCCTTCTTTATTACCCAAGACATACATTCATCCCACAAAGTTTCTTTGATGCTCTGTGCCTGCAGGAAGTACAATACAAATTAGTACTATCCCAGGATGATTGCTGTGTTACTAAGTCTTCAGACAGTCATGTATTGGAAGGTTAGTTAGAACTTACTGATTAATTACGTTACCCCCTCCAAAAAAAATCAAGAAAAATCAGTTTTAGGACATTAAGTTCATGCTATTTGAATCTCTTCTCTGTGTATATGTATATAGATTAGACTATATCTACAATCAACCTACCAATCTTTATTATTTCTGCCTCTGATGTCATATTAGACAAGATTATAAAACTATTCTCCAATCCATTTTTCAGTTGTCTCAATATTTTCTTCTTTTATCATTCTGATATTTCTTTGCATGTTGTATAAATAAAAGATCCAACTGTACGTTTTTTGCCTCACATTAACCAGTGATTGCTGTTGTGGTCATTGACTAGTCAGCATCTTCCTCAGCAACATGAAATGTTGTCTTTCTTATACATGGCTTTGGTAAGCTTTGATTTGCTGGGGACATTCTCAGATTGAGTTAGCTCCTCAAGGTTTCTGTTTTAATGCAAGAAATAGCATGTTGTTTTACCAATTGTAACTTTGTAATATACTTTCATACTAGGAAATAGCAAGTTTCATTATTCTTTTCTTCCAAAGTTTCATTTTCCGAGGTTGCCCATTCTTTCAGAAAGATTTTCATAGTCATTTTGCTGAGCTCTCCGTAAAGCTGTCTTTAGGGTTTTAAGTGAAATTGTATTAACTCTGTAAATTAATTTGGGGACATTAACATCTGTACACATTCTTACCTAGGAATATAACACAAACCTCTATGACTGATAATTTTATTGTATGTTTTTCAATAAAATGTTATTTTCTTTGTTTGTCTTGCTCATTTCTTATGTACTTTATTCATAGATATATGATACTGAATTGCTATTATGACATTGTTTTCATTGTTTTCTATTTGTTGCTGTTATGAAAAAAAAATCAACGGATTTTTACACATTTATCTTTTGTATGGCTACTTAACTGAAGCTCCTTATTCAAGTTTCTTTATTCTTGGGATTTTTTAATAAAAAGATATATATTTTTTTAAGGAAAAAAGACCATCTTTTCTAATAACTATAAGCTTTGAGAGGCAGCATACCACAGTATTTAAGATTAAAGACTCATGAGTCAAACTTCGTGAGTTTTAATTGAGCCCCATCATGTTTTAGCTGCATGACCATAGATAGCCAAGTTACCTCACTTTTTTTGGCCTCTGCTTCCTAATTTGTAAAATGAGAATGAGATTAGTCCATATTTCCCAGAATCGTTGTGAGGATTAAATAAGTTAGGACTTGTAAAACATTTAGAACATTTTCTAGCATATAGGAGACACCCCTGAAGAATCCAGTATTATCTTTGGAGGGCAGGCCACTTATAGTCCAAGCTTCCTCCAGTTGGTAAGAGTTCCAGGAGACCATCAGCATAGCGTACCAGCTAGCATTGTTGTGAGAGGCTGCCTTCGGCTTCAGTGAATTTGTTCTGGAGAGCCTCGCCATGTCCACTTCATGACGGGTGCTTTGCAAGCACACCACACAGAGTGTTCAGGAGTATTTTACCAAAGACGGCATGACCCCACTGCCTCACCCTCCCGATTCACTTGAGCTCACCCCAAGTGTCTTTTTTTCATTTCCCCAGATGAAAAAAGTCCTCAAAGGGAAATGTTTTGCAGATGTGGCAGAGGTGAAACAAAAAATGGCAGAAGCACTGAAAGTCACCCAAATGACGAGTTCAAAAACTGCTTTGAGCAGTGGAAAAAAGCATCTGGATAGATGTATTGCGTTAAAGGGGGAGTATTTTGAAGGTTGAGTATTGTGAAGGTTGAGTATTTTGAATGAAGTTTAAACAGGTAACAATAAAAACATAATTTTTTGTAAATAAATTCTGGGGTTTTTTTTAGCCTCCCTCATATATAATAAGAATTTTTTAAATATTTGTCTTTTAAACAATTTATTATATTGGTTTTGGTTAAAATTTGTTGAATAATGTCAACTATAAGTGATGAAACTGGTCATGTTAAGCCTCTAGGGTTTTTCTGTTTTCTTAAAATCATTTTTTCACATTTTAATGCCATCTCTGTATTTCTAAGTTACTATGTTGTATGTATGTGTGTTTTCTTAAGAGAAATTAAGTTGCATTTTATCAAATGTCATTTGGAAGTAAAAAAATAAGAGTTTTATTCTTTAATCTAGGTCTATAAAATTATTTTAATATATTTCCCAATATTGAACCAGTTTCTATATACCTAGAGTTTTTTTCTAGGAATATGTGTTTTATTATTCTATTTTGCAATTTCTACATTCCTTTAGTTAATATTTCAATGAATTTTTGTGACTTTCATTTGTGTGCTACTTTTATTTGTTTTAGTAATTGATAATTTGTTCTTTAAAAGGGTATATTTTCAACAATAATTATAAATCCCTGATGAAAGCAAGATACATTATTCATCTCAGCAGAGTATATTTTAGCTCCTGCCAAACTTCTCTACCCAAGCAGGTCAAGGACATAGAATCTTATGTATCAGACAGAATTAGGCTCAAATCCTAACTTCACCACCCACAAGCTAAATGTGTGCATTTGGCAAGGTATGCTTGTATCACAGGGAATAACCATGCCTTCCTTACCTTCCTCACAGAGCTAACAAGAGAACTCAAAAAGAGATTGTATTCATAAATCACTGTACACTCAGTCCACAATATAGACCCCCAAATTGTCCTATATGTCAGCTTTAATATTCCTTAAATATAAAATTAATATCTATAATTCTACTTGATTTTTTTCCTAGGATGGAGATTCCAGTGGTTTATGTAGAAATATAAATGCTTTTGATAAAATTATTTGCGTAAAATTACTTTATAACAAAAGGTAGATTTTAATTAAGACATGTTACTCTTAAATTTATCCTTAGGTTATCATGAATTTAAAATTTGACATGAGCCGGGCTCAGTGGCTCAGCCTGTAATCCCACGCCTTTGGGAGGCTGAGGTGAGAGGATTGCTTGAGCCCGCGGGTTCGAGACCCATCTGGGCAGTGAGACCTCATCTCTACAATCAATCAAAAAATTAGCCGGGCGTGGTAGCGCATGCCTGTAATTCCGGCTACTCGGAAGGCTGAGGCGGAAGGATCGCCAGAGCCCAGCAGGTCGAGGCTGCGGTGGCCGGGAGCGGCCACTGCACTCCAGTCTGGGCGACGGAGTGAGACTCCAACTCAAAAAAAAAAAAATTTTGACATGAAAACGCTCTGATGAGACACTGAAATGAACCCATTGTCAAAGAGTAAATGAAGTCACAGAGGGTTCGTAGGAATGATATACCCTGGTTTTGAGAAAACCAATGAGCCTAAACCAAATGTGATGTCTTCCACCCTTTCCTGCTCCCTTGGAGCTGTGTTCTCACAGGAATCTGAGAGTGGCAGGTCACCTTGGAGCCTTCACTCAGGCTTAGGTCTATCCTGGTTCTCCTGACCTATCATCTAAGCTGCTATGGGGAGCAAAACTCTCACTTTGCATAGGGGAGCTCAGTCCTAAGGGATTGGAGTGGCCTCAAAGACCAAGTCTACCAACCTGACGCCATCTTTAAAAATATTAATAAGACTGCAACATGAATGCGGTCTCAATTTTCAAAGGAAATACCATTTGTGCAGGTGAATATGAGTATATACAGTCAGCTGTCCATATATATATATCTCATCAGCACACAGAAACCTGTCTCTCAAAAGTATTAATTTGAAGTTTATGTCTACCAACCAATGTCATGAAGAATATTTACTCATATGTACTGATTACAACTCTATGACTATGGTCTCTGAGGAAAGTAGCAAACTGATAGGAATAGTAAGATTGTAAGACCCAATAGGTGAAATGAATTTCTCTTCTGTTTTAAGGCCTATAAATTTCAAAACATTGTTCTGAAGAGCTAGCTACCTTTACTGAGAACCATATAAATAGGCACCGCTAAGAATGAAAGTATCAAATCAAGTTCAGTTTCTACTAATCAGTGATCCCTGGTAGACACAGGATGAAAATGTGTATCTCAAGGTCTCGGGATGTATTATTTGCTAATAAATTAGACATGAACAATAGATTAAACTAAGCTTTGCTTAAACTATCTTGATTTGTTTTCTAAAATGAAGATATCACACCTGACCTTTTCTCTGCTGTCATCTGGGTTCATAGCAACAAAGATATTTTCAGGAACATCCTCAATATAGAATTCCAAGTGATCCAGGAACAATGGAACAAAAGGTGTACTTACCTGACTTTTCTGCCCCTGGGTTGCCTCAATAACTTTATGATTTCCTGCTTCCTCCAGATTTCTCTTGATTGAATACCTTTTCAATACACCAAGACCACTGAAGGAAACAAAGAAGGAGAAAAAGATTTATTAAAATAAACATGTCTAGTGCTTTGTCTCTTGCAAAAAAAAAAAAGAGTTTCCTTGGACAAAAACATCTAATTTAGTGACCAAATGCTATACAATTTAAAAACAATATTCTTTTTTTAAAATTCCTTATCCCAATTTTTTTCTTTTCAATTTCTCTGATATCAGGGCACATTTCCTTGAGTAATCAGTTCACACATCTGTACAAATAAGGAGTATGTTTCTTTTTATTATTTTCTTCACAATTCAAATACATCGACTGTATTCTTTTTTAATTTTTAAAAACTATTGTATTTGAAAGATGTGGAGTACTATTCAGGGTTAGGTATACAAAATTCATGATGCAGGTGCCCTTGTTGACATCAACTGTATTCTGAGCAGTCCTTCTCATGCCTTGCTCTAAAACTGTAACATGAGCAGTGACAGACATTATTACTAAATGGTAGAACCAAGAAAATAGCAAGAGATGTATTTCTTTTCAGATTTTAAAATTTCCGTGGAAAATAGATTTACTCGGTGATTGAAACCTTTTCTCAAATGTGTGATTTGAAAAGCAATATATCCCTGTGGCAGTTCATCTTTGAATTCTGATGCCAAGGAGCAAAGGCATTGTTTTTCTCAATCACATGATTGCAATTCTTAGAGAGAAAATGAGACTAATAAAATCTGGTCCACCCATAATGGTTAGTATCAAGAGTTAACTGGAAAATTTGCTATCATAAGGTAGCCAACTCTTGCATATTTTTTTCTTGATTGTATATTTTTTAAGTATTTGTATTAGTTTTAAGTAACTAGAAAACAATCTAGTTATTTTCATTTCCATATGTGCTTTCTGACGGAGGTGGCTATAACTGATCAATGAGTATACTAGGCTCCCTTTCAGTTAGGCAAGCTACATATTTACGCAGACGCGGAGTAACTGCTTAGATGTAGAAGATGAGAGAGCCACGTTTCCTTCATTTTATGGAGATCATCCATTCTGTTCCTTTTTCTCAAACATTTGGGACCAGTAGCATCAATATTTCTCTGCTTATATGTGTGCCTAACTTTACTAGGCTTATTCATAGTAGGAATCTAGTTTTATATCATGGATTCAGGGATCAGTGCTATCTGCTATCTTCTCTCCCCTTTTCCTGGCTAATAAATCATCAAATTCTGTCTATTCCAGGCTCATAATGCTCATCAGCTCACTCTTTCTTCCAACTCCCTAGGCACCATCTGGTTCAAACCTCCCCAGCCAGCCCTTTGTTCATCCTACCCATTCTTCTAGAGATTACGACATCTCTCCCCAGTGTCCCTGGTCAGAGGCATTCCCTTTCTAAAACTTTCTCCACAAATTATTCACCCTGGAACAGTAACTGGACTTTTACTCTGTGTGAAACCTGAGAATTCTATGTGGTGGAGATATTTCACTATGATTCTCATCATTTTTCCCAAGCATTAAGTTAGCTTTCAAATAATTTTGATTACTCTCTCCCCTTTGCTTCTCACATTTTCTCATAGCTTACGGTGAGCTAGTAAAGAAAGCCCTAAGGGCATTGCAATATAGAGGCTGAAGCACTGAACTTGGTTCTAGTTCCAACTCGTCCATTGGTCAGCTGTTGATTCTGAGGAGTCCTCTCCTTTCCTAGGTAAATGACAGAGCCTTACTCATCAAGTGAGCCTAATAATACTATTTCCACCTAATAATACTCTCTCTCCAGGTTGATCTGGGATTCAAGGAAGGTCACATACAATAAAATGCCAAACATGCAGTTACTACTCTCCCCAAAGAACTGCCAAAGTGAAAACTTGCTGCTTTTGTTTAGCACTAAGTTCAGATTGAGATCCAAGGAAGGAATCTGTGATCACAGTCTTAATATCACATTTTCTTTCGGAAATGTGATATTCTAAAGAGTTTGTTTTGACTTCCAAAGGAAAAAAGCACCAAGGAAATCACACTCTAATATATTTGGGTTTGAAAGACATGCTGGATCTAAAAAAGAAAAGAAAGGAAAGAGGGCTCAAAACATGACAAATCTTAGCTGCCTTTGTGACACAAATATTCATGTCATCTCCTTAAAACCTTGCTAATAGCTCCAGACATTACTAGACACTTTTCAATAAAAAAAATTTCCTTATTCTCTGTCATTGTGTTGTAGGTTTTTAATAGAAAAACTGTAGTGTGTATGATAGCATGTTTTCTTTGTTTTGTTTCTAAAGAGGAAATAAAACATATAAATCCAAAAACTTGTTAATGTATAATTAGCACTGTGGCTTTAGCTCAAGGAAGCCTTTTATTTTATTTTAGACTAAAACAATTTAAAAAAAAAAAACCCTACTGATCTAGGCTTCTCTCCCCCCAGCTCCTAAGTCCTCATGAGTTTCTTGTCTTGCTGGTTTTCAGGGAATTTTTATATGGGCTTTTGGATAACAATTGGTTGCAGATACTTTGGGATGACACTGATTGACCTATCCTTTTGACCTCTCCACTATTTCATGTCACGGGGTAATTAACACTCAAACAGGATTCTAAGGGTCATAAACTAAAAAGGAAAAGATAACATCTGTGTAGTATTAATTTTTATCTGACTCATGCATTGAAAATGGTAGTTTTAATAGTACCTTTGTAAAATCACAGTAAAATACATATAACATAAAACTTATCATTTAACCATTCTCAAGCATAAAGTTCAATATCGTTAAAGGTATTCACATTGTCTGCAACCAATCCCCAGAACTTTTTTATCTTGCAAAATTAAAACTTTAAACCCATGAAACAATGACTTCCATTTTTTTGCTTCCTGCAAATGCTGGTAACCACCATTCTACTTTCTGTTTCTATGAATTTTACTACTCTAGATATTTCTTAAGTGGAATCATATAATAATTGGCTTTTTGTGACTGGCTTATTTCACTTAGCATAATGTTCTCAAGGTTCACCTACTTTGCAGTATGTGTCAAAATTTTCTTCCTTTTTAAGACTGAATGTATATACCACATTTTGCTTATCTATTCATCCATCAATGGACACTTCAATTGCTTCCACATTTTTTCTTCTAAGAAATTTTAATCTGTCATCCTGACTGCAGTGCAGTGGCATGCCCATGGCTACTGCACACTCCACCTGCTGGACTCTGGTGATCTTTCTGCCTCAGCCTTCCAAGTAGTGGAACTACAGGCCCACGCCACCATGCCCTACTAATTGTCTGATTTATTGTAGAGGAGAGGTCTTGTCAAGTTTCCAGGCTGGTCTCCAACCTGTGGGCTCAGGCAATCCGCTCACCTCTGCCTCCTAAAGTGCTGGGATTACAGGCATGAGCCACTGCACTTAGCCTGCTTCTGCATTTTGACTATTGTGGATAGTGCTACTATAAACATGGATGTACAATTATCTGTTCAAGACCCTGCTTTCAAATCTTTTAGATATGTATCCAAAAGTGGAATTGCTGGATCATATGGTGAAGTGGTACTTTAGATTTACAGAAAAATTTGAAGACAGTACAGAAAATTCGTAAATAACTCCACACCAGTTCCCCTATTATTAACATCTTACATTAATATGACACATTTGTCACAGCTAAAGAACTAATATAGACACATCATTGTCAACTGAAGTCCATCCCTGGATTTTTTAAAATCTCATGTTCTTTTGGTGTTTCAGACTCTCATCTAGGATATGACATTACCTTTAGTCATCATGTCTCCTTTTTGTTGTGACAGTTTCCTAGACCGTCCTTGTTCTTAATGACCTTGACAGTTCGATGGGTATTTTGTAGACTGTCAATTGAGATTTGTCTGATATTTTTCTCATGATTAGACTGAGGTTATGGGATTTTGGGAAGAAGACCACAGAGCTAAAGTGGTATTTTCATCACATCATTTCAAGGACAAATAATATCAACATGACATTACTGTTGATGTTGACCTTGCTGACATAGTTAGGTGCCTCTACTGGAAAGTTATTCTGCATCCTTCTACTTTCCACTGTGTTTTGGGGAAAGAAGTCACTACATATAGCCCACAGTTAAGAAGGCGTTATTTTCTACCTCCTTGAGGATAAAGAATCTACATAAATTATCTGTAATTCTTCCATACAAGAGATTTATCTCTCCTTTCTCATTCATTTATGTATTCAATTATTTATTCATAATGGTATGAATGGTATGAACTCATGGAATTTATTTTATACTTTGGATTACAATCTAATGATACTTTATTATGCTGATTTGGTAGCTGAAAGCTCTTTCAGATGGCTCTATTAATGCGAAACCTATTTCTTTACATATTATCACTCAATATTTCATTCTTGATACACACGAGTATATGGCTTTATCTGGGCAATGCTGCTGAGGAAAGGTTTATTCAGGTACAATGGAAGAAGAAGACTACTACAAGGCAGATGTAACATTGTGGTGTGCCACCAGGTGCTCCCTTCAGGACTGAGTCACCCATTTCCCGAGCTGAGCACTGGTGCTGATGGCCCCCAGCTGAGACCTTCTCCAAGAATTGGCCTCAGACAAAAAGAGGTCACTTGCAGTTATGAGTCACTGCAGGGTCTACAGAACTTGTCTTGAGCGCTCATTGGACTGATTCTGAGGGTGCATCTAGCTGCTGAGCTCCCCATGGAATCTTTCCCTGTAACCAAGACTGTTTTCTGGATACACAAATGACACTAGGAGCCTCAAGTAAGAGGTGGAAATAAGTATAACATGCACAAGCCACTGTAAAGAAATTGGTCACAGTAAGGACAGAATCCAAACTGTAAAAAAATGTGGTGATGAGTCAGGTCAATCTAAGTTGTAAGGAATTTTGAAAGCCAAACAGAAAGGTTTAAGATTGAATTAGTAAGTGAGATCCAGTAAAGTATTGGTATATCCATAGGAAGAGATAGCATTTAGATATAAGAAGCCAGAATTTTAGTAGCTAACATTTATGAAACCTATTAGTGCAGAAG